AACTCCTCTGCTTATTATTAAATTTTTTTATCAAACTGTTTATTTTGTTCAAAACGCTCTATTTTAGGTAATGTTGAATAGAGTTCTTGTGTTGGATGTTCGTGTTCATAGTGTTTATCGTTTTATATTTACTACGGAGGCCAAAAATTCTACCCTCTGAGCGACTTCCCGTGTCTCCTTCTATTCCAAGTGATCGTTAAGGCATGGAAAATGCGATTCTCGGTTAAAAGCTGTGCACTGTTTGCTACGTGGTAGTAATAGGAAGGTTATTTCATTTTGTCGGTATATTGAAGAGATCATTGATTTTTCTGGTTCAGTAAGACGAGGTTTTCGTTGTAGGTGTAGACCTACATGTTGTGTAGGCCTATTGGTGGTGGTGATGTATTTTAGCATGTTTTTTTTTTCGTCGGTTCAGAATGACAAGATTTCTGCGTTGTAAAATAATGGTTATTGCGTTAATCAGGGGCGGATCAAGGATTTTTTGAAGGGCAGGGGGGGGGGGCGGTTTTTTAGGAATGACAGGGTGCGGATGCGAAATCAACCCTGAAAGCCCCGAAATTTTGGTGCGGTTTAGAACTATGATGCATGCAGCTAGTCAAAACTCTAATTTTAAGAGGGGAACATTGGTGTGATTTTTTTTTTCAGAAATCAAAGGAGGTGGGGTCAGGACCCCCTGCCCCCCCCCCCCCCCCCAATCCGCCACTGGTTAATGCAGTCGTCATTGGTTGTTCACGTTAATAACGGTACTCTACGTAATTTTGCCGGTGGCAGGCGGTAACGTAAGAAATTTAAAGTATTTGCAACTTGCATCGAACGAGGTAATAATCGGAGAGAGATGAAAAGGAAAAGGTTCTGCGTTCTCAGGCAAATTTGAATTTAGAGGAAATTTCAACGGTAATAAAGCGGCCGAGATTAACCGGATCGATTTTTTTTAAAGGCAAGGCGCGGGCGTAGAAAGACAGAAATATAAACGGACACACAGACAGACAAACGCGCGACTGGTGTAGACTTTTTACAACGTTGGGAATTTTCAGTTATCCGACATATTGGAGAATGATAATTAAAAGTCGTAACGGCAAATGAAGGAAGCAGATTCATGTGGCGTTGTGAATACAGGAAAGTGAGGTTGTAGACCCAGTTTTAAAGGATATCCTGCACTGAGTTAGGGTGGAAGATCTGGTAAGTTCGTGTGGATACCACGGTGCTTGTTAATTTAGGTCCTCAAAGGACTAAATGCAAGTGAAACCAGATGTTTTTATTATTTATTTAAAATGGCATCCTGCTCCCAGATTAGGACGAAAAGTCTGGTAAGCTCCTAGAGGTACTAGAGCTGCAGGTTAATTTAGATCCACCGATGGACACCAGATATTTTCTTTAAGGGTAAGTAGCATCCCCCACTTTAAAGTGTAGGACCTGGTATTTTAGAGCAGGTATTTTTATGCCGACACCCCTCCCCTCCCCCGGCTACGGGCCTGTGCCAGATGACGTAATCAGCCCAGGAGCAGCGCAACCGGCTCCTAGGCTGACGAGGCTGACGGTTATTTAGGAAATTATTAGATTTGGCCTCGTTTTCAAATAGGGATAAACCGCTCCAAGAGAAATTGGCAGGAGAAGGCATAGAGACAGGTAAGATGTACATATGTTTATACAAAGACCAGTTGATTTATATACTAATAAATATCACAAGACAAAACAATATATGCTTGAGTTACATTTTATACACCAAAGGAATGTTCATGTATCAACTTTACTGAGCATTATCTGAAGTTACATTTGTCACACATAGCTGCATTGTAAACATGCGTTTTTGAATTGTGCCAAATGCAGAGGAAAGTTTTTTCCTTTATCTGTTCAAGTCTTTCCATAGTTTTACATACATTTTTGAACATTTAAAAGTTTTGGAAAGCGACCAAATAGGTAACTTGGTAATTTTAATATTTCCAACAAGTTGTATATTAGGCGTAATGATCACAGTGTCGGCTAATGGCAGTCTTGTCTCATATGTTGAATCAATTCACAGTTAAAGGGAAAATAAGTCTTCGTATGATATCTATATTTCACAATAAAAACATTGTGAATAACTCATAGAAATATAATATACTTTGTTTTACCACAAAACGGCAGTTATAGCTATTTTTTCTGATATCTGAGCTTGTATTTAGACCACGTGACCTCCATTGATAGCTATACTCTGTTAAAATCTCTTAAGAGATTTTAACAAAAACAAACTTTTTAGAAAAAAACCAGGGACTAACTTTAAATGTAAAAATGGATTCATTAACCATTGGTAAGTATGGGAAAATTGTTGTTTACTCCAGGAAAATTCATTTTTTGGCTGAAACGAAGAGTTATTGTCCCTTTAAATATTTTATACTTGTCTTCATATGCAATTAAATCATGTTCTATTGTAAACAAGATGTAATGATTTGTGAATATACATTGTGATTCCTCATGGATGTGTGTGCATGGAGTTAGTGTGGGGGATACATGCTTGTACATGTACTGTAGTTGAAAGATACAAAATTGAAAACCAACTACAATATGAATATTAAATTTGGACTTTATACATGTTTGCCCTTTGTTCAGGGAACATATGTATGATATCAATTAGGGGAAAACTTGTTACTCAGAAATAAGCTTTATTAAATGATTTACCTTCATTTGTTTAGAGGTTTCAATAGATCAACACTGTGTCATAAAATGCTAGTGTTATGTTACATATCATGGGCAAATTTTCATTTTAAGGTAGTTTGTTTTGCTCCAGTGATTGTTTTTGTTTTAACCCAAATCCCCCTCCCCAGTATAAAACAATATTATTTTTGATTACAGTACCTACTGGATTTGTCAGCAAAACTGGTTCTTTGGTTAGGGGAACAGATCTTAATGTTTTTGAGGATATGGCGTCATATGTGTTGTTTTGTTGCCACCTTAGTATTTTTGTCTTGCAATTTGACTACAATATAACTCTCTCTTTCTCTCTCTCTCTCTCTCTCTCTCTCTCTCATGCACACAAACTCTCCCACACACACCTATAAACACATGGCTATTAAGTTGTGATCTATGAAAAGTAAATGTTCCAAGAAAAAAAAAGAACATATATAATGGGAAGGTTTGAGTCATTTGTAAAACTCATCTTTTGTTTTAATTTATATTGCATATTTAATGAAACAGCTTAAGTGTATATTAGTTGCAAACACTGTAGTTTGTGGACTTTTATGTATTTCCTAAAATCTTTAGGACTTGATTCAAATGGGGTTTAATTGATTTGAAGGTGTGTATGCTTGCGGCACTTCAGCTCCTGATGTTGAGTTTTATTTATCAATACTGATACACTTTTTGTGTAAAAAGTACTATTTAAGAAACTTGGTTGTTACCAGTTACCCTATTACAAAAATTGTGATTTACTATTTATATTGATATTAGGCTAGTATGTGTGTGTATGTGTGTTTGTTCGTGTGTGTGTAAAAAGATAAAGTTAGAAAAGTATTTCTGTGTTATTCTTTTAAAAACTGAGACTATTCATTTTTTTCTAGGCTTGGAGAACATGGGACCAGGATTTATCAATTTTGCTATTACTGTCTGCAATTAAATGACAAAAGCACCTATCATTTCCAAATGCTATGTGGAAATGAGCACCTTCACAACTTCTGACATACTTACTGTTAATTTAAAATAAGCACTGATTAATGTTAGTTATTATTATTTTTTGTTGTTCTTAAGAAAATAAGGCAAACTTGTGTTGGAATTGTTTTCCTATAATTAATGCTTATTCAGTGTATGCATAATATATTTTAAAAAGGGAGAGAATAGTTGCCACTTGGCTGTTCAGTATACATACAAATGAAGTGGAGTTTAAGTATGAACAACATGACTATGAAACTTCTTTATAATCAAGAAAATTCATTTTTTCTTGTTTCTCCCTTCAGGTGACAGTAAAACTCAACTACACAAAGCCAACTTATCACAGATTTTTCTACTGTAAGTTTCTAGTATCATATGTGCAAGTTTCACAAAATTTCAAGTACTTTTTTGCGGAGTTAATATTGTTCAACGTTTGTCAGATTGGCAAGGTGACCAGTAACCTCAACAAAGCAAGTACATTTAATTCACATATCAGTTATTACAATACTAATATCTGTCTGATAAGGGGGGCACCTGTCAGTGCACAATAGTTTAACATGTTTTCACAATTGGATGTGGTGCACTGTCAGCTATTTGTTTTTTAGCAGCAAATTTTGGTCACTTTACAAGTACATTGCTTTGTCTTTATTTCCAGTTTTGCTTTCCATCATGGTGGCTCGATGAACAGTTTTTTTGGCTGGCTATGTGATTTTGTATCTAAAAGGCATTGAAAGACCCCAACCACGACATCCCTTTATCTAATCCACTAGTGGAAGACACATAACGTGACAAGATTCAGGGCAGATGGGGTGTGAACTGACAGAGACAGAGAAGCCATTGTAAAGAGGAAACTGGATCTTGTGCAGGAAGTAAATGAAATGGACTGTTAAGTTTTGTTTTACTGTTCATGACAGGTAATTTCTGTTCCTTCTTGTCTCCATAGAGAAACAAATATTACATGTTTTATTTTATTAAGGTTTAAAAAATGTTTGTTATCAATGATAATTTTTGGTCAGTCATTTCACATTTCTCTTATTTTCCCCCTCACAGAAATGCATCTCAACTACAAACATTTAACCGATATACTTATTAAAGACTTTTATTGTTGTTAAGCTTAATTTGTATAAATATCAGAAACATTGGACTAGATTTGACAAAGTTAAGTCATTTTAAGTCATGGAATTTGCCAGTCTCTTCAGTGTTATTTTCAGTTTTTTCAGTAATACATTGTTGTTTTTCCAGAGTACCCTTAACACGAAAAGGCAGGCAGTGCAAATCAGCAGCAAGAGCAGTGCTATGTCTTATCCATGTGAACAATACATGATATGTTGCAAGATTTAGGACATTGTCAAAAATTGTGCTAACAGGCGGATTCCAGCAACCCATTGTAAGCTTCATCTGCATCTGGCATTGGTAGTAAGGAAAAGTCATGGAATTCGCCAGTCTCTTCAGTGTAATTTTCAGAAATTCAGTGTAATTATCAAAGATTTTTATTGTTGTTAGACATCATTTGTACAAATTTCAGAAACATTGGACAAGATATGTCAAAATTATTAATGTTTAACTATTTTAAAGGATGGGATTTGCCAGCCCTTTCAGTGTAATTTTCAGTTTTCTCAAATATATTGTCCTAAAAATTACTTTTCATTTAATACAGTCACTTGATCAGCTTATCACAGATTTTTATTGTTGTTAAGCATCATTTGTACAAATATCAGAAATATTAGACTAGATTTGACAAAATTATTAACAATTAACTATTTCAAGTCATGGAATTTGCCAGTCTTCAGTGTTATTTTCAGTTTTATCAGTTACATTGTTGTTTTTCCAGAGTACCCTTAACACGAAAAGGCAGGCAGTGCAAATCAGCAGCAAGAGCAGTGCTATGTGTTATCCATGTGAACAATACTTGATATGTTGCAAGATTTAGGACATTGTCAAAAATTGTCCTAACAGGCGGATTCCAGAAACCCATTGTAAGGTGTCATCTGCATCTGGCATTGGTAGTAAGGAGAAGTCTTGTATGGGTATATATTGTTTTCTAGATGAGAGTTATAGGTAATTTGCAACTTCCTTCACAAACAGACACAAATCATCACATTTGCTGTTTTCTTTTACAGTGAAATATATATTGCAATATTGAAATATTTGATTTAGTTTATTGTCACACTCTTCTGATTATTAATTTCCAATAAACTTGACACTTAAAACAGACACAGACAACTGATCATCTTATCACATACTTTTATTGTTGTTAGGCATCATTTTTATAAATTTCAGAAATATTGAACCAGATTTGACAAAATTATTCACAATTAACTATTTTAAGTCCTGTTATTTCCCAGTCTTTTCAGTGTAATTTTCAATTTCTTAAATATATATTGTCCTAAAAATCACTTTTCATTAAATACAGTCAACTGATCAGCTTATCACAGGTTTTTATTGTTGTTTTGCATCATTTGTACAAATTTGAAAAACATTGGACAAGACTTGTTAAAATGATTAATGTTTAACTATTTTTAACGATGGAATTTGAAAGTGTTTTTAGTGTAATTTTCGGATTTCTCAAATATATTGTCCTAAAAATCACTTTTCATTTAATACAGTCACTTGATCAGCTTATCACAGGTTTTTATTGTTGTTAAGCATCATTTGTACAAATATCAGAAATATTAGACTAGATTTGACAAAATTATTAACAATTAACTATTTCAAGTCATGGAATTTGCCAGTCTTTTCAGTGTTATTTTCAGTTTTTTCAGTTACATTGTTGTTTTTCCAGAGTACCCTTAACACGAAAAGGCAGGCAGAGCAAATCAGCAGCAAGAGCAGTGCTATGTCTTATCCATGTGAACAATACATGATATGTTGCAAGATTTAGGACATTGTCAAAAATTGTGCTAACAGGCGGATTCCAGAAACCCTTTGTAAGACGTCATCTGCATCTGGCATTGGTAGTAAGGAAAAGCCTTGTATGGATATATATTGTTTTCTAGATGACAGTTATAGGTAATTTGCAACTTCCTTCACAAACAAACACAAATCATCACATTTGCTGTTTTCTTTTACAGTGAAATATATATTGCAATATTGAAATATTTGATTTAGTTTATTGTCACATTCTTCTGATTATAAATATCCAATAAACTTGAAACTTAAAACAGACACAGACAGCTGATCATCTTATCACAGATTTTTATTGTTGTTAGGCATCATTTGTACAAATTTCAGAAACATTGGACAAGATTTGTCAAAATTATTAATGTTTAAAGGGACAAAAAATAGGATCTGAAACGCTTTCTTAGTGCATGGATTGCTTCTTTTTGAACTTAACTGAGAACAATTGCTATATTTAAAACATAGAATGGCACATAAATGGCCTTAATCAATATTGCAAAAAAGTATCATATTCACCGTCCCCTTTCAAACCCCGGGCGTCAGCCATCTTGACACAATTTGAAATAACGCAGCTTCTCGACTCAGATACGAGATGTAAACAATGCAGACAGCATGGCTGAATCGAAGGTGAGCGTGGGAGAGAAGAAGAAGAGGAATTGTTCACCAATTCTTTGCAGGTAAGCAAGTTATATTTACCAAAAGTACTTTAAAATGGGAAGGTGGCAGTGAAAATCAAAATGTCTGGCAGTGGAAGTTAAAAAGCGTAGATAAATGCTAATAAACGTTTCCTTGGGTAACGCACTCGCAGCCAAACCACTCGCACTGGGTACGTACTACTAGTTACATGGAGCGAGGTAGTGCACTTTGCCCCTGAGGTGTATAGTTCTTTAAAGCAGGAGGAATACCCTTTTCTGCTCAATGTGGTCATCTACCAGTACTTACAGACTAACCTCACACCATATTCTCGCAGGGGAATCCCATGAGATATACAATATGTAACTCGAGTACTAGTGGGGATAGAGAGTGTTCTTTGTACAACACGTAACTACGTTAACTTATTTGTAAATTTAATAATATTGTCAATGAATATGATTATAAGGAATGAATTTTTTAGCCTTTCAGAGGAGGAATTGGGTGATACACCCCTTCATGCACGAGTGGAGAGATCAGGTATGTTAATAATTTTAGCAGTATAACAGGGGCGGATCCAGGATTATTTGAAAGGGGGGGAGGGGTCCGTGGATGCAAAGCCGACCCCCCCCCCTCTTGTTGGCGTGGGGTTCTGGGCCTGCTTAAAATTTTTTGTATTTTAGAGGGCGAACAGTGCCATTTGGTACGGTTTAGCACTATACTGTAATAAATTAGCTAGTCAAAATTCTAATTCCAAGTGGGGAATATTAGTGTGATTTTTTTACATCAGTTCTTTGAAACCATGTGTGATTATGTTATTTTTTCTTGTGGCCTTTATGATTTAATGCAGCTACAGATATTTAAATTTAATTTTTTTTGCCACAATCAGACTTGCTTCTTTATTAAAAGCTGGATATCACATAGTGATTATGCCCTCTAATTTGTTGATTTTTGTTAAAGAATACTGCTGTTATGATAATATCAATACATTTTTTCTTTATAACCATTTTATGCAATTTTACTATTACAGTGCCTCAAGTTATATCTGGAAAACTCATACCAGGAAGCACTCCAATCTTACAATACTGCATCACTTCAATATCGGTGTGACAAGTTGTGTAAAAGACTGCTACAAAACATTTGCATTGATGACCACATGATCCACCACCTTTTACCAAAACCGAGTGAACAGTTTTATATTATAATTCCCATGTACATGTATTTAAAGTGACAAGACTGAGATCAGCGAGAGCCTCAAGGCCTTTATTTTCTGGGCATTGTCAACTCTTCAATAATTTTATAATTTTGGCAAATACATCCAAAGATTCAATTCTAATGCAATTCTTGAAAACTTTTTTAGAATATATTTTAATGTCGAACATGTTTTTCTAAGAACTAGCCCTTTAGTAAATTAACAACATGTACTATCCAACTGTTATTATTATTAACATATTGTTATGTACAAAGCATAAGCTGCAGTATCAATGTAGCATTAACTGGGTAGAGATTATGAATGAAATAAAAGTTTAAATATTGAAACATCTTTTATTTTTATTTGGCAAAAATACAAGAATAAACAAAGTTTGCTACATAAGTTTGGAATTTGGCCAAATCATCTTTATTATTACCTGTCACATGTAATGAATAAGACATACACAGATTTTGTAAGCTAGAATGCATAATTATTTTCATACTTATTAATGCTCTCTTCATAAATAAGCCTTCCATTCAAGCATTCACAAACTTTCACATTGTGCAGTACAAATTGTAGTATGGTAACATTTTTGAGAGAGACTTATTAACATCGGGCTATCATGTTAAGAGTCTGACGTACATGCAGACCCATGAGGATTGCAGATCAACAAATTATCCCCCTCTCTGTCAGTGTATTGACTCATGTGAGCTGACACAAAAATCTCCATGCAAAGGGATGTGTCATAAGAAAGGACTAACCCGACTTACACAAACATAAATTGTTTCATCGGTAAGATATTCACATATACTTTTCCAAGACGTGCAGGGAACAAATAGAAAGGTAAAAATATTTCTTTAAAAAATACATGCATGGCTTCCCTGCATGAATTCTAAATAATGGCTGAGTGCATGGAGAATTGAATACAGGCACAAGTGTTCACTCAAACCATTTTTGTAGGTCTTAAAAGAAATGACATACAGTCATTTGCCAAATACAGAATTTTATGCTGTAACAAAGTCACAAAACTGCAACTGGTGATCTTACAAAATCTGACAACACCCTGGTTTAAAATCAAGTTGAAGTCACAATATGCCACCAGTACCATATTCCATAATACATTTGATGTCATTTAGATTTAAGAAGTAAATGCTGGACCAAAATGGTTTATTCTCAATATCAGGCATATGACTTAGGTTTGGGAGGAAAGACCACCTTGATTTCCAATCTGTCTGCATTATAGCATACATGCCAGTGCTAGATGGTTTGAAGTCAGCAGATTATGCTTTGTCACATTGGCAAGATGAGTTCACTGAATATATCCTGTAAGCAGCACTCGAAAGTCAGGAAAAGTCTCTCACTATCCAACTCGTCCCCGCTTTGGACCCTCGAGAATTCTTATTTTGGTGGAGAGCCATAGAGTTCCTCTTCCATGTAAAAAAACTCTTCTTCAGGACATCATACTGGCAGTTGCTCATAACCTTAAGGTCTAAAAAAGCAAATCAAAATAATAATAATAATAATTTATTAAGATTGCAACCCAGTGGGTTGAAGTTGTACACAGTGTTAAGAAAATTATAATGAAAAATAAAGTGAATATTTGCTTGAATAAAACTGAGTTAAAAGACTGCTAATTGAACTTTAAAATTATTGTACTTAGGATAAGAGACAACATAATACTATTGGAAATGTGGATATGGAAACTGCATATGGAATTAAACAGCATCGGAATCTGTCGGTCTTTAATTTTGGCACTTTGTTACTATTGTTTGATTTTAAAAGACGATTGGATTGCTCAATAAAGATGTGATTCAGTTTGTCAGAGGATTCAGTTATTTTGTAAAAGACAGTTTTGCACAGATCTTCTCTTCGTTTATCTAAAGTACACATACATGTATCTGCCAGGTTCAGGGTTTCATCATAGTGTAGGTCAGGAAAAATAATCTTCAAAGCACGAGTTTGGACAGTCTCTAAGAGTTTGCATTGCTCTATAGTTAGTCCTGGATGCCACACAGGGCAGGCATATTCTAGAATTGAGCGCACAATACTTTGGTAAAGCTTAGCTTGTTTCAGTTGACAGAGGAAATAGAGTCTTGCATTATGTTTACATTATGTGTTGCCAATTTGGAAAAAAAATTGATAAAAGAGAAATCATGCACCTATTATGCCTAATATATGATGAGTGAATATCAGCTTATAATTATTAAAATTCTGCTTACTCTAAAGACATGTTTTAGTCCCATGTTGGATCATCAGGATCCTTTAATTCCCTCTTCTTCAGCATCTTCCTCCTCTTCCATCTGCACCTCTTCCAGTTCAGACATCCCATAGGAAAAAGTTACCTTGATACTGCAACCAAAAAAAAAAGCAACAGTACATAAAATTAAGATAATCAAGTTTGTGAAAAATCATGTAAAAACATAACTGAAGTAAGTATAAAACTCAACTGAAATAAGTATAAATGCCATTTTTCTCAATATGATCACCTTAAATTATCTAGACTGTCATCTTCAGCTGCACTAGTATTAACTTCAACTTAATTTTGAAGTTTCTTGATCACTTCATATTGGTTTAATCTCCGAAATACTGGTTGGACTCTAAAGTTAAAAATTGTATGATCTAAATTATTACTCTGGACTATTTAATACATTAGAGAGATGTACCAAACATAAACATGTAATATCCCCTTTCTGATTTATTTATTTTTAATGTAAAAAGGAGACAAATTGTCTTTAGAATATAAAATCAAAATACTACTCAAAGATATTTTCAATTATAGTTGACATGCCATTTAACATTGAGTTAAACTTAGATACAATAACAGCTTCTGCACATGCATTTTGGAATTTAGATGCCTAAAGAAATAGCATCTTGGTCATACGTCTTAATTACTGTGTTTTGTATGCTTAGATGTTAGAGGCACAAGAAATGTGCCCTCGGTAAGTCAAAAATTCGCCCCGGCCATTGTAATGTACATGTAATGAGACTAGTATCTCCCACCATGTCCGTTTCTAATTAAACTTTCTTTGCTCGACATATGAGCAACACTTGCAATTTCTGTCATAGATACCACTCATATTAGTTACAATTTCATGGCATATTTTGACAGACGAGCCTGACAATCGTTAGGAAATACAACGAACACACATAAATAAACATTAATCTCTGTGCTTAATAAATATTTTCACTGGTGTCTTATCTCAAACATTATTGTAAATGGTACTTACAAACCCAGTAAATACTTCGCGGCCAGGCGATCCTTCGTATCCATGGCCACCCAAGCAGGTTTTCATCTGCCTTCTTCCTCGCCGGTGATTATTGTTTGCCTGTCGTGCATTTGCTGATAAACTGTTTTTCGCATTTTCTCTGGTGTTGATTTTTGTAAAGGGTGTTTCCTTTTTCTTTTTGTTATCTTTCTTCCCTTCTTCGATGGAGTCTCAACTAATTGAGCCACCTGTGCCATGTTGTCTTTTCCTGGCAGCTTTAACTTGTTTTAACTAGGTCGCAATACGAGAATCTGGCGAGATCCGGAAGTCTAAAGAGTTCCAGTATCAAAATGGATTTGGTTGTTGGTAAACCTCCGCTTAAGCGGAGGTTTTCTTTTATTGTATTTCCCAAAAATGTTACAGAGCGATGGCGAGTGCTGGGAATGAAAGATTAAAGGTTGGTGAATCGCGGATAAATACTGTTAACCCCGGGATAAATCAATTTTGGCACGAAAATCCTCTTTTGTGTCCTTTTAACTATTTTAAACGATGGGATTTGCCAGTCTTTTCAGTGTAATTTTCAGTTTTCTCAAATATATTGTCCTAAAAAACACTTTTCATTAAATACAGTCACTTGATCAGCTTATCACAGATTTTTATTGTTGTTAAGCATCATTTGTACAAATATCAGAAATTTTGGACTAGATTTGACAAAATTATTAACAGTTAACTATTTTAAGTCACAGAATTTGCCAGTCTCTTCAATGTAATTTTCAGTAATTTTGTTCTTTTTCCAGATTACCCTTACCATGAAAAGGCAAGCAGAGAAAAATGGCAGCAAGAGCAGCACTATGTCTTATCAATGTGTACAACACATGATAGGTTTCAAGATTTAGGACATTGTCAAAAATTGTGCTAACAGGCGGATTCCAGAAACCCATTATAGGGAGCCATCTGCATCTGGCATTGGTAGTGAGGAGAAGTCTTGTATGGGTATATATTGTTTTCTAGATGACAGTTATAGGTAATTTGCCACTTCTTTCACAAACAAACTCAAATCATCACATTTGCTGTTTTCTTTTAGAGTAAAATATACACTGCAATATTGAAATATTTGATTTTGTTAATTGTCACACTCTTCTGATAATTAATTTACAATAAACTTGACACTTAGAAAAAGACACAGACAGTTGATCAACTTATCACAGATTTTTATTGTTGTTAAGCGTAATTTGTACAAGTTTCAGAAACATGGGACAAGATTTATCTAAATTATTAATGTTTAACTATTTTGAACCATGGAATTTGAAAATGTTTTGAGTGTAATTTTCCGTTTTTTCAAATATGTTGCCCAAAAAAATACTTTTCATTAGAAACAGTCAACTGATCAGCTTATCACAGATTTTTATTGTTGTTAAGCATCATTATTGGACCAGATTTGACAAAATTATTAATGTTTAACTTTTTTAAACCATCGAATTTGAAAGTGTTCTCATTGCGAGTTTCAGTTTGCTCAAATATATTGTCCAAAAAAGAAAAACTTTTCATTAGACACAGTCAGAAATATTGGGCCAGATTTGACAAAATTATCAATGTTTAACTTTTTTAAACCATCGAATATGAAAGTGTTTTCATTGCGAGTTTCAGTTTGCTCAAATATATTGTCCAAAAAAGAAAAATTTTTCATTAGACACAGTCAACGGATTTGTTTATCACAGATTTTTATTGACAAAATTATTAATGATTAACTATTTGAAAGTATAAAATATAACTATATTGTGTTGGATTACAATGTGGGTGCCTTCATGTGAAAGGTGATAATTTCTCTAACTGCAACAAATATAATTTTGTTTCCAAACATTGCTGTATATTTTAAACTTTTTAATTCTTAGTCGTAAATGATACTTAAACAGCACTTTGGTCTTAGACGCAGACATGCTGTTTGGCAGCTTATATTATTAAATTTTGCTGGGTGACAAAAACGGGTTGTCGTGCATTACCATCATTTCCATTTTCAACTTCAGTACAAAGAATTATCTCCCATACACATGAAATTGTTCAATTTCAGGATTTAAATACCCAAAATATGCTGTTTTTCTTAGGACAAAAATGTGTAAGGAATTCCTGTCATCTGAGTGTATAATCACGGATGTTTTGACCCAGTCCTGTTTCATTTTCTTCAAACAGTAAAACCACAGCTAGCGTGTAGTTTCGTTTCCCCATTCAGAATTGGCCCAGGGACTTAGCGTAAATAGTAAACACTTCCATTGATGCGTAATGATCTGTAACATGAGAGTCATTAGCTATATCCGATCCCCCTTTTTTTTTTTTTTTTGGCATGTAAATCACGAAAAATGATTTTATGTTATTGCTGTTCAGGATCACGTGCTTGCCCAACTCAGTGAAGTTAAGTGTACTCTTCCCTGATAGTTTTTGTGTTTAATGCTACATTTTCAAACTTTATGAATATAAAGCAAGATAGGATGCATATTCAAAGTTGAAGGCGTGCGCATGTGAGATGGTTTTCATGCTGTCGCTGCTTAACTGCCAATTCAGGTTCACAGCATGCTTTCCCAACCTGTAAAACCAAGTGTTCTCTTTCTTGGTAATTTCTGTATGTGTTTAATGTCACGTTTTCCAAAATTTATAAATATAAAGCATATACAATGCATATTTTAAGCAGAAAGCATGCTCACAAGACCAGCCCCATGTTGCCCATGTCCCAATGTTACCCAGTATTGTGGATGTGCATATATAACTTTTTTTGTGAAAACTAAAATTTTCACACATTGGTATTTTGAATGTGTGACTTTGAACCTCCATGGGCTTGAAAACCTTTGCTATTCACATGTTCTGAGTATCAATGATACTTATATTTTATTATTAAACATTGATGGTCATTTTGCTGTTGAGCATTATGTAACATTGCATCAGAATTGAAGAAAACCCTATTTTGGATACTGCCACCATGACTACCATTAAGGAAAACCATGTTACTTATGAATCTCAAACTTACAAAAAAGAACCATAGGACTAAAATTCAGTCTGCGTTGGAAAAGCAGCGTAATTGACTACTTTTTCTGGAAGTTGAACATTTTTGTGAAATTTTAATTTTTCACAAATGGACATTTTCATTGTGGGACTTGGAATTCCCACAGACATGAAGCCTAATGGTAATCAAAATTTCTAGATGTCCATGTTATTAATTATTAATAGTAGATTGTTAAAATTGGTGATAATTATACTGTTCATAATTATTATGTTATATTGCATCAGAATTGATAAAAACTACTTTGTGCACTGCCATCACAAATGTTATGAAAAGAAATCTCTGTTACTTATTATTTTAACTTACAAAAATTATTCTTAGGATTGACATACCGCTCAAATTAGAAAACCAGCTCTATTGGATTATATTTTTATTGCAATATATATTTTATTGGTATTTTCATGGGCCTGAGGCCTTACGGTAGTTACACATTTTACTGACATCCATATTACCTATTGTGCGTAATTAATACATGGTGTTGATTTGCTGTTCAGCATAATGTATTATGACATCAGAATAGACAGTAGCCTATTTTGCTTATCATTATTTCTGCTTTTTGTCTGTACATTTTGAAGCTTTGCTGCCTTGTCTCATTCTATGAGCTATTACATAAGATTTATTAGTTTTATGAAAGTTAACTTATGATTATAACCAACCCTAGAATACAGAATATTGCCAGTGTAAAATGAACTGTTGTATTCAGTTGGTACAGTGTAACTCATAGGAAGGAAAACAATGTATAAGTACCGCTGTAGTATGTGATTATGGTTGGTTACAAGTACTGTGTAGTAATAAAACAACACAGATCGAGATTGCCATTAAAACACAATGATTTAAAAAGGAATACTGCTTTTCTGATTTATTTGAGCACTGTTTTTGTGTCAGTGACAATTTCCCCACTATTTCCCAATAAAGAGCAGATTTAGACTCCTTTTGTCCCAGGTAGTATATATATATATATATATATATATATATATATATATATATATATATATGTTTGTTGGATATGGGAATCTCCTGCAACGGCAGCCATCTTCAGCAGTGGTCAGCTCTCAGCGGCCCTCTTCAGCAGTGGCCAACTCTTAGTAGCCCAGCAGTGGTCAACTCACACACATAAACACACACGCACACCATCTCTTTCACTCAATTTATAGGCCCATATGAAGAAAATTGAAAAATGAAGTTAAATACAGGTCACGAATTCTTCTTTTTTCTAAATCTCGTGAAAAAAAGTGATAAATCTGGCTTTTTTATATAAATCATTGAAAAATTCTGAATCTTAAATTGAGGCTTCCGTACGGCAGGTGGTCAACTGTTTACTGTTATCTAATCCAGGCGAGAGGTGCTCAGAAATGACCAAGGTCAGGGGAAGATGGAGAAAAAAGTAGCCTCATGTACCACACTGCTACAATTTCTGCATGAAGAACGAGACTTTGGCAATGAAAACTGCAGCAGTTTGTTGTACATTCACACGTAAGTACTGTATTGACGATATAAGATTCTGATAACTCCGCGTATTTAGCGTTGACGAATATTCCCCAAAATGGTACATTTCCCACTTCAGGCATACCGTTTTACTCATGGAGGGATACACCTTATAGTCTAAGAAATCTACCTTGAGTCTGCTATATTGTCATGTATAAAATAACTAAATTGTATTTTTGTAACGATTATATGTATGCTATTTAACCAAAAAATTTTGCATCGTCCCGTTAATGTGAATTTCTTTTATTTTCAGCTCCTAACTACTACTTACTGGATGCGTCTTCCATCAAAGACATGAGTTTAGTGTTTGACAGCACCTGCGCCCTTGTCGAGATCGTTTCGCTTTTCGAAGTTTGTCTTAATTTGCAGGGTTGATTATTAGGTTGTTACGAAATGTAATCTTTGCTTCGGAATGTAATAATACGTGTATCAGCCCAAAAATCGCACGTAACGAACGTTTTATTCATAAAACCTTTGATCTGTTGATATGATAGACTGATATGATATGATAGACTAAGTCCAAGCGCCAACCCTATATATGTTGCTGGTCTAATAATAATAATAATAATTATATATATATATATATATATATATATATATAATATATATATATATATATATATATGCGTCTGAGTCGTAGTACAGTACTCATCTGTCCACGATGGTTTTTATTGTAATTCGTTAGATTTCTTTTTTAGATATCAGGTCTTGAACCTGAAACGACACTTTTGACGTACCCCTCAAACAGAACTGATGTCGATGAAAAAAGTGCCTCGGTTAAAGGATGAATGGAAACCAAAATGATTAAGTGATCGTTACAAAATTATCGAAACTGATCAATTGATTGTAATAAAATTGTCACCAAGTCATGTCTAGGTAAAGCAATGTGCCAGTACGACCGGGTTTCTGTTTGTTTATAAAATGATATGTGCGGACAAATATTTAGTAAGAATCCTTAAGAAAATGATTGATTGTTAATCTTAATTAGAATACAAATATTCAAATTTTATAAGTGTCACTGTTGGAAGGAAACTTTGTCGCAACTCCAAGGCGAAAATACATACAAAAAACATTTTCGGTATACATATATTTTGTGTTCAGTTGAAGTTGAGGGATGAACGAGATGATAATTGAAAACTGACCTAAATTATGCCACATCAGAAATAAATGCATTGTAAAACTGCAAAATATGCAGGCGTTACTGCGGAATTGTCCACACATATTGAAATGCTCTTCCTAATATTGTTATTTTGCGGCGTGACGCAACCTTGGAATATGCTAACTTTGGTTTTCGGTGTATTAATATGTGTGTCTAATTAGTGTCGGACCTACATGTATAGCTTCAGTATAGAGAGGGGGCCAATATGTTTGTTTTACGAATATCAAACCAGAGGTAGGGTGGATATATATTTTTTTAATATGTATTTCTTATTACATTAGGAAGGCAGTGAGAAAAATGTTTGTAATTGGACAACCAACACTTCCTAGCAGTGTCCACAGCTGTGCTCTTTGCGACTTTTTGCTAATGTCACATAGCAGAAATGTAATGTCTTCACCAAAAAAAACCAGTGCATCCAAGAAAATGATTTTATTTTGATTGCTTTTGTCCATTTAAAGGTATCATAATCTTTTAACTTTTTAAAAATTCGAAAAATGCTCTTCAAATTCATACTGATTACATTGGCTGTTGCAAAGTGTAATGGGTATTCCCAATTATCCAAATGAAGTTTTGTACACAATTAGTCCTATCCAGCTGGCAAAAAAGGGAAAATTCAACAGGACATTGGCAAATAAATAATGGTAGTTAAAGTAATAATAAAACAGAAATTTAAATATTCACAAACCTGTTGGTGTTCTATTTAAGGTTGATTTTGTTGCTATTCCTTTCTCTATTCAATTTTTAGCCGTGGTCATTAAATGCCAGTCCTGTTGGGTTATTTTTTGCTAAGCGTTGCTTGATCACTGAACACGTAGACCACTGTTGAGTTTATAAGCTTTTGCTGAATGAATATTAAGAGTTATTTTGAGATCACTGATTTTGTGTAAACGTTTTAGTTTGTTTGCATATCATTCATAAAGATGGCTATTACTGGGATAAGGTTGTTAACGAATCATGTCTCCCTGCTGCTTTTGGTTCGCACGGCAAAACTGTTCACTCAAAATGTGCCATTGATTATTGATTTAGGATTTGATGAAAAGAAAACAAAATTACAAAATTATACATGAGTTTGATAAATATTTCCGAATGCGATATTGTTTCGAAAAACACTTTTTTGTAGAGTGAAAGTTATATTCAATTATTTTAACCCTCTTTACGGAACATTTGCTAGTATTAGTTTGGACAAAAATGACGTGTATTTTTCAAAATTTATACTCAAGACTGCCTAGGCATTATTTTCTTCACTTAGACTCGAACCCTTGGCTTGCTGCCTGGTTAGCAGAAAGTATTGTGGTCTTACCCACTGAGCCGTCGCCTCAGCTTGCTTTCACACGTTCACATAGTTCTTATTTAAATTGCTTATTTGGATTTTTTTCCCCAAAAGGTAATTTGCTAGGACCCAGGAGCGCCAGGTTTCGAACTTGAGACCTTCCGTTTCAGAGGCAAGCGCGTTACCTACTCCTCTAAGTGTTCCCACCCACCCTCCCCGAGTAGACTTTCTTCTTATAGTAAGCAAAAGAAAAAAAAAGAAAGTCCCTCATCTTTATTTCCAAGTACCCGAGCCAAGAATCGAACCCCCAAGCTCAGACTTAACCACTGAGCCGCGATACGGTCAAGGCAAATACAAAGCCATTTTGCATATATTTGAGAAGTTTTTTTTTATTGAGAGCAAAACAAATTCACATAATGTATTCATGTATTTCCAAAGTATCTCCCTTTGAACTACATTGTCTTTTAATATTATTTTCGTCATCACAAGGATCAACTACGTAGAGCGAAATTATTTATATCTGCATTATTCGAACGTGTAAAAGATACAAAATGCTACTTTTTTATTTGACTAATAAACTATTAACAACTACTTGCCTTATGTTTATCTTATTGATACTAAACGAAGTATTTCAATTTCTTCAATTAAAAAAAAAAACAGTGGCGGATCTAGTGCTCCTCTCCCCGGAGGAAGAGAAACCCATTCTCGGCTCGCATAGTCAAATTGCTCAAAATGTCAACATTTGACCTCCTTAAAAATCCTAAATCTGCCAGTGTTTTTGTCTTTTTATAACCATAAGGAAAGATGAAAAGTCCACTGTCTTTTTTAAATTAGCGAGCGTTTTAAGTGTGGTACGTGTCGTTGAGAAGAAACATGCAGTTCGCTATGTTTTGCCAAAATTATCAAAGTCGCCAGCAAGTGACGTCATCAAATGAATTTTATAAGCGTCAAATTAGAATGGAAAATAAAGGATTTCAAAATTTCCTTAACAATATCTCTCTATATACGTATATATAATTTAAAAAACATGCAACATGTACAGTTATCAAATGTGACTTAAAATCCAAGGGACATATCCTCAAGTTCCCTACATCCATTTTCCATAAAGAAAAATCGTCTATAACAAATGATGTGAAACTTTTGTAATACTTATCGATCTAAATGCAAGAAAATAAACGTGTTAATGATAGTCTGCATCATCTGGTTGATAATATAAAATATGCTGGTAAGAGAACAATAACATTTAGAAAATAAGACAACTTTCAATAACATAAAATGCCTCTTCTTCTTTACACAAAACCAAGATTCGTTCAACAAAATAATGTTACAAATGTAAGTTATATTCAAGTATTAAACATTCTACTTCAGCTTAACTGGCAAATAAACAAAAAATGCTACAATATTTATCAAAAAAATCTGATCATGCTGATATTCGAAAAGAACCTGCCTTTCTACCTTATAAACACAGAGTTACTTAGCAAATTTAAAACAAAAACATACATGCTAAAAAAGCTACTTTGATAAGAATAATCCGATCATGATGATTCTAAACAGGAATCCTTTTTGTAACCAAACAATGCTTCTCAGTCTTTATCAATTTTTCGTCATCAGACAACAATTCTGTTGAAAAAATGAAATACATACACAATGTTCCAAAACCTGGTAGAAGTTTAATTTCCATCCTGTGCTGGGCATTATGTGCTGGGCAATACTGGTGCACTCATATATATTCAGATCCAGATTAGCTTCTCGATAAAATGATTTCAAATGGTAACCGAAGTCTGGATTTACTCATCACTTCACTGGAAAAACAAGAAAATTGATTGCCGGTAGTTAAAATTTTAATTTCCAAAAGATTATTTACCTCCTTTCTTATCCGAGTATTAATTGAAAACAAACGTTAAATATACAGTATAATCATCATCATTTAATAACGTGTCATGTGTATACAGAACAACCAGCCCATCGGGCTTATAAGACACCTGTTATATACAGTTTGTCCTGTCTTAAATCAAACATCTAAGCATTTGACCTTAACATAGCAAACATTTCAAACTCGTAGATATTTCAACATGTTCCCATTTATCACAACAGAACACAATATTCAAAACAACATCACTTATAGAAACACGAGTCATTTACCAGTTGAGAGTTTTGGGTTTCTGGTTGCTAAGTCACTATCTTAAGGAATTAGAAAATGGTGATTTTCACTCATGTGGGTTACAATATTAGATATTCTAATCATTAGAATAATTCATAAAAAGGACTTAAAGATCACAATTTTCTCACCAGTTTAGATAGGGTATACATTGGCAATTGGGGGAAATTGCTGGAAAATTCTTACTTTGGAATATTCTAATTATTTATCTATAACTAAATGTCAGGTCACCACTAGCTGCTTTGCTGCACATAGTAGGCCTACTCTTTTCCACATGCCAGTACGGCACACGTGAAGTTATGATTGTGTTGGACCTGCTTCAAGGCATACAGGAGGATTATCGCAATACAGCCAGGTCTATAACTGGTTACCACGCGCTAAAACATGTGAAGCGTTTTGAATATTCAGGATTTCATCTGTAAAAAAATCCTCATGTTATATTGATTAAATACCACATGCAAAGATCTTTGAAAAAAGCCTTTTGAATGAGCAGCGTAATACACATAATGGTCATCAATGGAAATATATAGCAAGTAGTAAATAAATTAAACGTCCCGTATGCTTCGAAGGGTTGATCTGGTCAGGGAATTGTATCGGATATAATTCCCTGATCTGGTGATCCACCAGATTTCACCAGACTCACTCATTTTAACGACTTGAACAATTGCTTAAATTGTTCCCTTCGAGTATATAACATCTAATGTGCTAAACATAGAGATAAAAGTAAAGTTTAGAAAATATTCATTTTGGATATATATGCATTATAACAAAAGTAAAAACCCGGGTGCTCAGAATTTGGTACATTCAATTTGATTGATGTTTCAATGACTGGATTACATGTCACGGTTGTGCACAGAATGTCAAAAACCGGTGTAATGGTTTCACAGATTCTTTCGGTTTATGGGGAAATATCCTTATTAAAGAAAATTATAAATAAATAAATTGAAATAAAATGTAAAGTAAAGTAGAGTGAAGTCAAGTGGGGTGAAATGAAATGAACTTGATCGGTGCTTGTTAAAAACGTTTACAAAATGCACGAGAAGCATCATTCATTCCAGTTAATCAAGTCAAACAACTTATCTTCACGCTGGCAAATCTTTTAACAATAGAATTGTGGCTTTATCATACCAATACCTGTTTTTTTTACATATGTGGCATCATCTTCATGAACTACCTGTTATTGCATGTGATAACTCAAGAAGTTATAACTTTTTGGATAACTTAAGTCGAGCTTTAATCCGGTAGTTTTGAGATACAAGATCCCAAACATACATGTTGGTATGCTTTTGTCTCTATGTTTGTATTGAATACAGTGATATATGTGACACAATAACTAGGATTTTTCACGGGTCACTCCATAGCATCCCCCCCTCCTTTCCCTTCTTGGCTATTTCACAAGTACACATTTTGGCTTCAGTTATTTCTATAAACGAAGTTTAAGATAGTTCACAAAAAGCACAGTTGCATTTTTCATTTTCTTGGGTCATGCACAGATGAAGTTATGAATGAGGAGAAATGTTTGATGGGGAAAATATTGGGGAATGGCCTAACCACTTTTAAACACACAATTGTTTAAAACTTCAAAGATGCATCACAAATAAGTTATAATAAAATGTCAAGATTAAAATTCTTCAAACGTTGCTCTGAATCGATTGAAATTTAAACATTCGTATACTTAGTTTCTTGACTGCTTCATGTCCAGTCCCTGGTCACTCAGAACTGAAGAAGTGCATGACATCTCTTTCTTGAGGTATGGTCCACTAGATTCAAAGGGGAGAGGGCATAATGAACGGGGGCTTTTTCTCTTAAATTCACATCAATAGCTGGCAGGTGAACCTTTATTTACCATTCATCAATAAAAAGATACACAAGACGCATTGGTATTTAAAATATTTTGAAATTTACCAGAAGAACAAAATCTCAGACCCTTACCCTCCCCAAAATGTCACGCCATTATGTAGGTCACTGGTTGTCCATACATGGTCCACTGAGTAATTTTTGACACGTTTGACCTGCAGACTTTACTATAATATATTTTATTACGTATTTATTTTAAGGCAAAAATGCATTTAAAATGTTCATTGGATTCTTAATTACAGGCTCGTAGTCGGAGAGGTGTCTTGGGGATCGAACGGACCGCCCTTTTTTGCCGGAAAAAGGTCCGCTCTGAGTAAAATTGATCTAGGTACACGGATGTTTTATGGTAAAAGGTTGAGGTTTTTTTTAAAAAAAATTGAAATTTGAAATTGCTGGCTACGGGCCTGCAATAAAAAAGGAGACAACAACTTGAGAACACCAAAATATATAAATATCCAAAAAATTCATCTGGAGGTAAAAAATATCGTTTTCTTAGCAAGTTAATGTTCAATTTTTTCCTTTCATTATCATTTAATTTCAAATATCAACAGTATACACATAGCACTTAAATACCAATAAAACACTTACCACACATTAATGTTTCCCATTGAAACTATCGGTTTCCATAAATCGGACACTAACGAAACGGGCCACTTACGACCCCCGTCAAGGAAAGCTTTTATTCTTTTCTTTTTTCTGTAAACAAAGACTCAGTCTAAAACAATAAAAAAAAAAAAACGTTTGCTCCATATTTACTCCCACTCTCATAATTCTGTAAAATAAATACAACACACTTAAAAACACATAAGACTCAGGGGCGGATTTAGGTCGTCTTCTGGGTCTTCTGGAAGACGGTCAGATTTTCAAGTTTACATTGACGGGTGTCCAATTTTTTCTGTCGGAAGACGGTCAAAAATGGAGGACGAATCAACAAAGATAATTTGGAAGACTGTCAGAAAATTTCTCTGGATCCGCCCCTGTTAAGTTGTTGTATCAGTTATTGGAAACCCAGGGCGATACCCAAGCGTCACACACTCATCAACAGACAGAGATACAAACAAAAACATAATATAAGTATATGCAAGCATTTGACCCTAGTTGGGCGTGGATTTGGCTAAGGAGAGTGGGGTGGGGTGTGGGCATTTTTGTCTCCAAGCAAGTATCCACTCCATTGGCTCGGCAAAGATAAAATAGGGGACGAAGATAATTTCACATATCATATTAATATAGAATACAGTGATAAAATAATTGTTTGGTTTTGCTGTTCGCAGGCTATTCGTAAAATCTATTGGACATGACCAACATCCTCCGTACGTGCTTACGAACTCGAAATTCTGTAAGAAGGACCTGCGTGGGACGTGAGATTCTGCGTAAAATTTGGACGCAAACAGCCCGTAAGAGCCCGTACTTTAAGCTGTGACCGAGGCTTAAAGATGACATTAAGAGTGCATTCCCAGAGATTCAGATTGATCCATCCGGATCGACCTAACTACCTGGGGGTTCACGCTAAATTGCAGTCAGCCGAGCGCGCACGACAGTTAATTACCCCCTTACAGCTTTTAGTAGGCGGGACAGATATTTAAGCCGGCTTAGCTGACAGTAATCTAGTAAGACTCCCACGGGGATAGATCGATCTAAAATCTGTGGGAATGGGGTCTTAGAGCTAATTTGATGATGGGTCCTTTTTCTTTATTTGTAACCTGTTTTTTAACTAAAATATGATAAAATAAAAATAAAATAAAATATGATAATGCTTATTATTTGTTATGTTTCTATTATTATTATTATTATTATTATTATTATTATAATTATTGCTGCGTGGTGTATGTTATAAATGATCAACTACAATAAAGTAAGCATTAACATGAAACAGTAGCCATGCCTCAGTCTTATAACACAGGCAGGGGTCCCGCATAGGGCCCATCTCAAAGTTTTTCAGTTGTGTTGTGTGTGTGTGTTGTGTGTGTGTGTGTGTGTGTGTGTGTGTTTTTTTTTTTTTTTTTTTTTTTGAGATTTTTTCAAAGATCAATTGATGGGTGTGGCTGATACAAGTGTTTACTGACAATATTGCAGCATTTTTCCCTTTATAAACAATCCAAATAGTTTGACGAACTTACGTAGTCTTCACATAAATATGTTTTAAAAAGTTTATTAAGCGTTTTATAGACATTACACAACGGATCTCCATACCAGCAGACATCTCGTTTACCAAGCCAAGTGGGTGACTGGGGGTGGCTTAGGTCACTAACCTGTCTGACCCTGACTGGACTAGATGACATACGGAGGTGAACAAAAAAAGATGTCGTCAGGTACGGTGGTCCATCACTACCGATCGGGTGACCAAGGTTCATTGGCATTATGTGAAAGCTCATTTAGTCACAAGTCAGATTTTGCTTTATGAGCAGGAAGTTGGTACGAGCTAAGATCTAATATACCATATCCGTTTATTAGATCTTAGGTACGAGTTAGTGGATCTACACGCCGACGTACTGGGAAGTTTATCTATCGCGGCCCATTTCTATGACAGCGTGAATTTATTGAGAGGTTTACCTAGAGAGCTACAAATAAATATATATATATATATATATATATATATATATATATATATATATATATATATATATACTTCGTTTTTTGCCCTTAGGTTATAATATCTTTTGTGATTGACAGCCAATTATCCAATTCATACAGTTTGATGGAAGCTGTCAAGTGCACACGACTTTGATTGGCAGTTTTATAAACAAACATCTGTTAAGATACTTCATGGTATATTACCACTTCATGGGATAAATGCTCTGATTTTACTGTCAAATCGACTTCATAGGATAAATTGCGACTTCATCTCCACATAAGATATTGCCTGCGACTTCATGGGATAATGATGAAAAAGAACCTGTTGTTGGCCCAACGTTATGAGAGAGAACGTTTTTGAAATATAATGTTTTTGTACTGTAAATATTATCCAAAATAGGTAAACTGTACGTTTTAATTCACTTGTATGACTGAATAGGGTTTCTTTAGTAGTACTGGATGCATGTTTTGAGTAATTTTAAAATACACAGGCGTATGTAGGTGAGGGTCCAGTATTTCTAAAAATCAGTACATTATGGGAGATTATGATCAGCGTTGAAGAAATAGGGGGTCCAGACCCCCTGGGTCCTTCCCTCCCAGATCCGCTTGATACATAAAACTACTGGATCAGGTAAACCAGGCTATGAAAACATAATTTACGCGTAGGTTACTGGATTATAAGATGGATAAATAAACAAATAGGGATCAATTATTAAAGATAAATGAATAGATAACAAAAAAGAAGCAGAGAAGGTCGTGTATATAAATGTACTCTACAATTATCTTGATCAAGTCGCATCCCACTCTGAAAAGCCTAAATTTTCCATGAGGTAAGACACGCGCAAGTGTAATGATTTACGTCTGTCCCTTGGTTTCCGAGATGCTCTGTTCTGGTCCTACACCTGTGAATGTCCATCATGGTGTGATCAATGGTGTCCCCGAAATGTGCCCTTGGCTGGCTCTCATTTGACCCG